CTTTGTAGATATGTATGTATGTATGTATATTTATATACAAATGGTTTTATATACTACATGTACATGTTTTTGCTTTTCCGTACATTTTATTGCAGTTTATTTTAACCGCCAACAATTATTCTGAGGCACTCTAATCACATTTCGTGATTCGTGATTTCTCGTTGTATTAGAGACATTCATAGGAGCAAATATAAAAAAATGAAGACATTTATATATTTGTATGTACATACATTTTTCAAACTGTCGCTGCGAATTTCATTAACTTTAGTCCATTGATATTTTTGGTCACGTAGTCCAGTCAATTTCTGTATTTGATGTATGATTAAACGATTCAGCGAACTCATTCAGTCAATCAGAATATCCTTATCCTTTTGAGTAGTTGGGGTAGTTGTTGTTGTTGAGAATACCTTGAGCCCATTCGGCAAAATGGTGCTATCCATTGCCTGAAAATACGCCGGATTAATCAGAAAGTTTTGTTTTGATTTCTTTGGCAAAAAAAAACCAAATAAAACATTTTCGCTGATTTTTTTCAGGTCAATAACTTTTCAAGTATTTTAGAATAGGGAATAAACCATTTGTTTAGAAAGTATAGTATAAAAACTGAGACGCGACATTTTTAGCAAGCTTTGGCTATTTTTCTTTAGTTTATTCAATGTTTATTATTACGAAAGCACTATAGCTGATTTCTTAACAAACATCAATTAAATCCAAATTTCAGACATTGTGAAAAAATTATGAAAATTTTGCAAAATTTTACCAAAATTTCTAACTTTTTAATCAGCATCTTTAGAAAAAATGTTGGTATCCCGTTTGTAGCCCATTGAATTTTAGTAAAATAAAGTGCAAATTTGAAGTAGCTAAGACTTACACCGTTGATTTTTAGCCATTTTTTTGTTGATGGTTTTCCGCATTTTTTTCTATACAAAATATGTTCGACAATTTTTTTATTTGGTTCACTGTAGCTGACGTGAAATAAGTAGTGAGTTTTAAGCAGCTTTGGATATTAAATGAATTTAATTAAAATTAAATATGGCGCATAATTTCAATATGTAACCCAGATATACGATGAATTCGCCTATTTTTTAAAGACTACCCGGGCAATTCTGGCTTACTTCCAAGTTTTTTTTTAAGACAATTGAAAAACCGTCGTCAAAGTAGTTTAAAAGATTTTGTTTATTCTGGCACGGAAGTCTGATGAAAAATCTCCCTTGCCAGCTTTCATGGTAGAAAGCTGTTCTGACAGAAAGCACTTGAGCATATTCCAAATCAGTGATGCTCAGAACAGCGCCCGCGGGCGAGACTCTTTAAAGCTCTCTGTAGATTTTGTACGAGCTCTTTCTGAGTATCACTGTTCCATATGGACATGTTATCAGTTTGATCGCGCTGTTCTAACAGTCGCAATGACCGAGTGAACAAAGCACCGGCGTGGCCTTCGGGTGGATTTTATTGTTTAAGAACGAAAAATATAAATTTTTAGATTTAATTGTTTTAGAAAGAAAATTATATATTAATTTAATTAATTAAATGTTAAATGTTTTGAACTTTTAGGGCCGTTTTATAGAGTAGGTTCTAAAATTCATCTGCCCTTTTAAACACAAATTTTGTACTGAAAAAATCGGCTTGAAGGGCAGGTAAATCTGAAACCTACTTGAAAAAACGCAAGAATTATAACCTAGGGTTGAGTTGCATTGACTGTTACCAGCGAAGTGAAATATATGGGACTGATCTTACATACCAAATTTCTATGCCTTAAAGCACGTGGACACAGCCATACCCAGATCCACGAAAGCACTAATGCTGTCCAAACGTTTAGCTGGAAAATCCTGGCGATGCAGCCCAAGAATTCTTAGATTGATCGCCAATCCACACAACTTTTTATATGTCTGTATTTTTTATGCCAAAATAGATCTTGCACCAAATTTTTGGTGTTTTGCAGGATCGTTGCTAGTCCTTGCCATATTAGAATTCAGAATTCGGAAGAATGGTGGGCGTGGCAGTGTACCGATTTTTACCATCTCTTAGATTTATGTCTCCCCAGGTAAATCCAAGTTACAAACCAAATTTCATTGAAATCCGATAACATTTAGTGGGCAAAAGTACTCCACGTAACAATTTTTAACAAAATCGATTTTCTCCAAAGTCTCTGAAAATGTTACTAGTTCACAGAACTCTTAAATTATTTATTTTTTAGCGTTTATTGTTAATTAGTTTTGAGTTTATGAAGGATTTTCTTTAGTAAAATTTTGTCGTAAGCGCCTTTTGTTCACAATTTGGCAGCCACTTTGTTTGAAATACGACAAAATGGTTTCAAAATTTCTACAATTAATGACACTTTTTACTCAATATCTTGGAAACTANTTGAAATACGACAAAATGGTATCAAAATTTCTACAATTAATGACACTTTTTACTCAATATCTTGGAAACTAAAGGAGATATACAAAAATGGAGAACACCATTTCTAAGATATTGATTAGTTTAATATGACTGCATCACTAACAAAATTTTTACTAAATTATCGAAAAAATTGTAGTCAGTATCTCGGAAACTAAGGAGATATCTAAAAACTGATAACACCAATCGAACAACCTTATTCAAAATATATAACTGCATCTAGAACTGAAAATCGTCAAAATTGCGCTACGACAATCTTTTACCCAGGCGACAATATGTATGTATGTATGTAATGCTTACACTATCGTGCGTTTGAGCAAAGTTGCATAAATTATTTAGTTAGAAGAAAAATATTTTTACGCCCAAGATAATGTAATGCCCATTATTGGGGTCCGCACGGGCATCGGTGCCCATCCCTAATCTAAAGTAATTAATAAGCCTCCACTTTCATTAAAGCGCTGGTGAGAGTTTGTAGTAGCACTGATTGCCTTTCTTTAAATGGACAATTTTGGTTATCCTACTTTGGAGATACTTTTTCTATCGAGACCATTCGTTGCGATACACTTTTTTGTATTAAAAAACGCACAGTATCGCTAGCATCTTCATAATTAACTTTGTACATATGTACCCTTGTGGTCAGCTGATTAAGACAAGTGACATTTTAACCAGTTTTGGCAATTTTTCATTTGTCTAATGTTTATAATTTTTTTTTTTATATAAAAGTTTAGCACATTACATAACTAGTACCACCTAAATCCACATTTCATACACAATTTATAAAATCTAAAACAAATTTTAACAATTAAATAAAGCTGCGTACCTAAAATTTTTCTAAACATTTTGAATAAACACTTCAAAAATTTTTGGTTGTAATTGTTACAGTTTGTTGAATTATTATAATTTTTGTAAGAAGTTTGAAATGTAGATTTATGTGGTACTGGTTATGTTATGTGCTGGACTTTTATACAAAAAGTTATAAACATTGAATAAGCAAAAGAAAAGTAACCGAAAATAGTCAAAATGTCACTCAACTTAATCAGATGACCACAAGTGTATATTTTCATATGTATGGTCATATGTAGCTCACTTTTCAAAAGAGGTTTCTGATGTCAGATAAGCCACTACCGGTTCACAAGCCGCCTAGCTTTGCCGGCTTACGCTTATCAGCAAGTTGAAAGCTTCATATTCATAATATTCAAGAAATTTCTGCTTCTGTGTGCGTCATGTACTACTGCATGCAAGACAAAAAACAATAGCCAATTGCAAGTTTGTCACCATTGTTTAGAATTAGACAAGAAATGCTGTCGCATGTAAAATTAAAAATTCGCTGATAAGACAATAAATTTAGTTCAAAAGCGGCGACAATGGGGTCATCTGAAACCGCTTAGTTGCCTCATTTTTTTTAAATGGACTTATATAAACTTGAAAATAGTTACTGAAAATATTTATTTAAACTTGGTCTAATAAAATATCATAAAGCAGTTCATGTATTCGATTTTTATAAATTTTGTCTGCAAAGCTCAGAGCTTTATGGTGTTTTCGTTCTACCAAAATGTCGCCTTTTGATTGCCCCTTTCTCTTTTCGTGCTCGATTTTAAAATAAAGGCAAACGGTGCTAAAATTTTGCGTTCATTTCTTAAAAAGCCAAAATGACATCTTCTCTGTCCTTTGAAGTTTCGCTCGGGGAGAAGGTTGCCCTGAAAATCGGATGCTTTCTTAAATCGACAATATTATGAAGTACTTGAGCAGGACAAAGACAAGAGGAAAAACCACGCCCTTTTACAGGGTTGAGTGTAACATCAAAACAAATTTTGCACCGTGGACGGGCAAAACTTTTTGGGAGAAACGAAACCACCATTAGAATCTGCATGAACTGTGTTGAGTAGGAAATGGTATTTACCCTCCCATGTAACTGACCTAAATGAGATGGTCAGCGATGAATTAAGATGCCAACAAAACACCAAAAGTTTCAATGAACGTCAATTAACCCTCTGTGGTCCAACTGTCTTCTGGATATTTGTAACATAATAAATTCTTTTCTTTTTACACCAAATTTCTTTCTATAGTCATCATCTCAATCAAGAACTGAACAGAAAGGGACGTATTTTCTACCATTAAAATTTTAGATTCCATAAAACGTTAATTTCATTCAATAATCTTGATTATTGTTTTCATAAGTACATACATATATATAACGGTCTCTAAAGTCATTTGCAAAATAAAATGCTATAAACACGCCTCAAGCGTATTTGAATAGTGTTTGTGAAGACGGTATCGGCTTAAATCAATGTTCACAAATTGAACTGGTTGCATAAAAACGCGCCAGGTTGCAAAAACTAAGTTTATTGCACTCCATCAGATATGTACATATCTGAAGTTTATAGCTTTTGAAGAAAAAATAATAGTTGCAATAGTATATGTAGTTGAATACGGTAAGCTGAGTTATTTAATAGAAATGCTGATATAATATAAAATAAGCAGAGTTTTATTAGGTTAAACAACATATGTACATATGTATTTATGTCTGTATATGTATGCATGTATTAGCCTCTTGACCCAAATTGCAAAACGAAAAATTCGCTTATTTTGCTTTGATTTGCTTACAGGTCAATACCCTCGGCATGGATGAGGAGTGGAAAGGTGGCGATATGAATGGCTTGGGTGGCGGTTATAAAATACGTTTGCTGCGTGAAGCTGTCAAGCCATTTAAGGATGAAAAAGATGCAATTATCTTATTCACCGACAGGTATTTACTTTAATAAATTTTTCTTCAATATGTTCACGCACTTAATTTTGCATTACTCTCCCAACTTCTCCTACCATCCGTAGCTACGATGTCGTCTTCACTGCCGACCTTAAGGAAATCTATCAGAAATTCAAAGAATTCGGTGCTAAAGTGCTCTTCTCCGCAGAGAAATTCTGTTGGCCTGATGAAAAATTGGCCTCAAAATATCCACCGGTTTCAGAGGCCAACGCATCGCCCTACCTCAACTCAGGCGCATTCATCGGTTATGCGCCGGAAGTCTATAGCATTTTAAGTGACGCCGCAATAAAGGATGATGACGATGATCAGCGCTACTATACGAAAATATTCCTTGATACGGAAAAGCGCAAAAAGCTGGGCATACAATTGGATACGCAATCACGCTTGTTCCAGAATTTGAATGGCGCGCGTGAAGATGTTAAGCTGAATGTGGATTTGGACTCGAATGAGGGTAAATTGCAGAATATTAATTTCATGACTGAACCGAGCATTATACACGGAAATGGACCCAGCAAGATGGAATTGAATGCATTCGCTAATTATTTAGCGAAAACTTTCAAGGGAGATTGTCTGATATGTCAGGAAAATCGACTGGAATTGGATGTAAGAGTGTGTGGTTATGTGCAGCTTTAGAAGTATTTTTAAATGCAAATGTTTACAGGAAAATAACCTACCCGTAATTTCGCTAGCGCTCGTAATTGCACAAGCAGTGCCTTTCTTCGATATGTTTTTGCAGAAAATCGAAGACCTCAACTATCCTAAGGAGAAATTGCATTTATATATTTACAGTAACGTGAGTATAAGCTGCAATGTTTACAATGTTTATTTTCAGTATATGTAAAAATAATGCCTGCCAATAACAGCAAAAATTCCACGATGATATGGCGAAATCGTTCCTGAAGCGGCTGGAGCATGAATATCGCAGCGCAAAGATTGTGCTGTCCAACGATGAATTGAATGAGCAGCGTGGTCGCGAGCTAGCACTGTAAGATTTAATATACAGCGAAACCTCGATATAACGAACCTTGATAAAACGGAAAACTTTAATATACAAAATTTTTGCTGGGTCTCCTGAAAAAAAACCTCATTGTTGCAAAATTTTCCATAAATATTATAAAGAAATTTTAAACATGAATACCTTCGAAATATATTGACGGTTAAAGTCCCATTGGCAAAGGCGTCTATATTACGAAATGTCTACTCAATAGCCTCTATATAACGCAATGTCGATTCAATAGCCTCTACATAGCGAATTCTGAACATGTTGACGGTTAGAGTCACCTTACAAAATTCCTAAATTCTAAATTTTTCGTTGGTTACTCAATAAACCATAGATATAATGAATCGTTTGTCCAACCCTTTCAACTTCGCTATACCGAGGTTTCACTGTACAATGTATGCTTTCACTTTTTACTAATTTCTATTCTTTTACTACACAGACAACAAGCCAAACAAAAACAGTGCGATTATATATTCTTTGTGGATGCTGCTGTGCAAGTGGATGATCCACAAATGCTGCGCGAATTATTAATAATGAATAGGTGCCTACTTTTGATTTAGATAATTGCCTATTTAGTTAAATAAGCTAATATTATTTTATTTCATGTCAGACAATTCGTTGCGCCAGTGGTGAGCAAGTACGATGAATTATGGAGCAATTTTTGGGGTGCACTCTCTGATGGTGGCTACTATGCGCGCTCACATGATTACGTGGACATTGTGAAGGGCTCATTTACGTGAGTAAAATGTTTGTCTGTTTATTAAAATTTGTTTTAGAAAAAAATGCATAACCCATGCAACAAACTCCTACGTACATACATATGTACATTTCGAGGGCTTATATTCAATACCCTCTATCTGCAATTTCGATGAAAATGAGTTTTTGATGGTAACGTGAGCTCCGATTAATCTTTGAGCCATGACAATAATGTCAAACTTAAAATATAGCTTTAATGGTATTATATTCTCATTTTGATAATTCCACTTTCTGCAATAATATTTTGTTATAAGAGCAAAATCCTCTATCTACACAATTTTGCTGGAAAATTGTTTTTATTAACCTTTCTTGTGGCAGGTAAGTTACATGTGCCTATGTATGTATGTATGTATATGTTACCCGTAAAATCCGATCTTAGGTCAAACTAGTTTAACACAACAAAAAAATCTTCCATATCCCGTCAAACAAAAAGTCATTAAACTCTATTACTCCATTCTATATCAAGGGCCACCAAGAGTGGAAAACTGCTATTATTATTCCTATTGCCAAACTAAATAGAAATAATTCGTTAGTTTTTAACTACAGACCCATTTCCCTCCTCGCCTGCATATCTAAAGTATTACGCTGTAAAATATGGTGATTGAATATCAGCCCTCGATTTGATATTTTATTTTAGTACTCTTATTTTTCTTAAATATGCTACATAACTGAGTATGAAAAATTGTATAGGCTTATAAAAATGTAAATACTCCTAACTTAATCGAAAGCAATCGAGAAATCTGTCTTAAAGCTGCGCCGATCTATCGAGTACATATTATCGGCGGTGCATTCATAGAGCCCGGCATCCATTTGTGTGGCTGGATCGATTTCGATTTTCGATTTCACTCTATCATCACCAATGCGCCACTCGTGCACCTGCAAGAACAACATAAAACCAAAACAATACTAAATTTAAGTTATTGAAACGGCGTATATGCAATTATACTCACATGCATGTAGAGATGTTGAAAAATCTCCGTGCCATCCTTATACCAAGTGATGTGTGGACGCGGATTACCTTTAGCCACACAAAGAAAAGCGATTTTATGACCCAAAACGTATTCATAATCGAAATGTGAGGCTTGTAGAATTTTAGCGCCCTGCAAAGAGAGGATGTAGCTATCAAAATTCGTTGTTTTCGTATGATTAGCAGCAGAGCGTGGCCTTGCATGTTGCCTTTCACTCATAACAATATGCAAGTTTTTATTACATTACAAAATTAAATTGAAATATTAAAATTTTCTAATTGCATCCACAGAAAAGTGAATAAAAGATTTAAAATCACTTCAGCCAGCACTTACATTGTTATTATTGTAATACTGATCCGATTCAGGATCACGGTATTTGCCTGTTATGGGTAAACCAATTTGTACCTGCGAAAGATAGACAATATTTTTATTAAACACTAAATATTTTCATTTTTTTTTAACTCATACTCTCGATTTGGTGCGTCCTCGGCCACGTCCACGTCGGCCATCACACACTTGACAGCTCAACATTAGCACACCCAGACAAATCACGAGCAATTTAACATTCATTATTTTGTAGCAATTGATTAAAAGTGGAAGTGATATTTATATATATATATTTTATATATTTTTTTAATTTCTTCGCACTTGTTTAGCTGAAAATTCTTGAACTACTATCAATACAAAGTATTCAAAGTCCGTGCTAAATTTTCTTGCAAATTTAATTCAATTTTTAATGTTTTGTTTGAATTTCTATACGGCTGGGTGCACGCTTCGGCTCGGCTCGAGTGTGCTAACACTTTAACGCGCTGTACGCTCGCCCGTTTCGATCGCTGCCGCCTTGTAACGCTTTCTGTACGCTCCAACCAAATAAATACGACTAAGCGCATAAAATATTTTGCATTTGCAATGAATTAAGCCTTTCAAGTCTCAACCCAAAAAAACAAAAAAAAAGAAGAAAAAATAATGTGAATGATGCGCTAGCTGCTGCATGTGACCGAGAGATGATGGTAGGGTCTCGTAATGCTGCGCAGCATGTTGCTGCTTAAATTTACAAACAATTTAGTAGGGGTGTAGTGTAATTTTTTTTTTTGTCTACACTTTTGCACCTATCTACATTTGCAGCTGGATTTCGCGTTTCATACTCTTGTCCATGCTATCCATGTGCATGTGGGGTGCTTATAGAATATTCTCAATATTTCTATGCAAGCTTTGCAGATAAAATAACAAGTGCCAACTATCCGCTTTTAAGTTTAGTTGTACGGGTAATTTTCAATTTTCAAATGTTTATTTTTTTTTTTAATTCGGTTTCAAGTACTTTGCAGCACAGTGTGTTGCATATTAATTTAAGCAATTTCAGGTACTAAAAATAGTTTGAAATGATAGCTATGGCCTGACGTAAGGGAACCTGTGTATATTTGGGCGTTAAGACTCAAGATTGCCTCAAAATGAGTGGCAAACACTACTTAGCTTGTAATACCACAGTGAAACTGTCATTTTGGAGAAATAGTCATCCCAACTCAACCTCAAAAGCTTTTGTATACTTAAAAGTTTCTTTTTATGACTTAACCAATTTTTTAAATATATTCCGGAGTCGTTTTCGAAGAAGCGTGAAAAATGGTAAAAATAAATTTGAGCGAAACCCCTGGTTCGGAGATATGGGAGGAAATTTCATGAAGTTGTTTTTTTTTTAACAATTTTAAGCCATTCACTTTCTCACAAGAGTTGTTGTTGCCTATTTTTTGAAAATACTGAACAAATTAATTTTGGAGGGTTAAAATGCTTAAACGAACTTTTTGGCAAAAGCCCTTCAGTTTGTGCCACTCCAAACAAAAAAGAAAGGTGAAAGTAATGCAGAATGACTCTCAGAATAGACTTCCGGAAGGGATTTTAGCTACTGATATTATCTACTGGGTAGTAAAAGTGCTCGTGATTAACTTAGTTGATTTCCAACTAATTTTTTTTCGAATGATTTGTGGCTGTGGTAAGGTACTTAAGTATTAACTATAAAATATCCACAACACCTGTATAGCATAATTTTAGGTGGTCGAATGATTAGTGATTGCATTAGTTCAGGACTTGTTAGAATATTTATAGTTTATTAGGAGTGCCAGTTACTGTCGAAATTCGACCGGTTTTCTAGTTTTTTAAGACTCTTGGAGAGGTTTTCTAACTTTGAAAGTCTTGTAAATTTGTATGATTTTATAAATATCGATAATTCAATGAATTTAAAAAACACTAAAATCCCATAACTCAATAAAATTCGATAACTCAATAAAATTCGATAACTCGGCTAAATTTGATAATTTTCGATAAATTTAGATTTCAATAACTCAAAAATGTATACATCTCGATATAAATCGATAACTCGGATACCAATATAAATTTCGGTAACTCGGTTAAGCTCTATATTTTTCGATAGCTATCGGAAAATTTCGATAAAATTCTTATTTTGATATTTTATTCTTTTCAAGGGTTTTTAACCTTAAATTTTTTTTACTTATTTGTGTAATTTTTAAATTTTTGTACCAATTTCAATTTCTTAATAATATTTTTTTATCCAATTTGCTTCGCTAATTACAAGAATAATTCTACTGTAATTCGTTTTACCCCATAAACTCTTTCACACATTCAAAAAAAAAAAAAAAAAATACACATCCCCTTCACTGCCCTCGCCGACCTAAAGCAGCAATAACAATCCAAGCGGTCAACTGAAAAATCTCTTGAATTAAATAATTGAAGCAATTTGTCGCCAAATGCTCTCTCGTACTGCAAAAAAAATAAAACGAATCTAGGTTTATAGTACACGTAGTTGCTGACAGACGACATAGGAAATCTGCGTAAGACTGTATCCATGGCAAGTTTAAAATAAGCTCAGCTCATTTGTTTGTTGACGATATTGTATATTAAACAAAATTGCGCTGCATATTTAGAATTGCCGCGCTAAAAGTTTGAATCAAAATGTTCCACTATATCAGGCAAATTATTCCATCAAACAAACAAACGTAGAAAATTGTTTAGAATTGTATGCATTTTTATTCGTATGCGCGGAAGATTTTAGTTTTCTAGAAAATTTTCAATTTATACAATAAGTAAATTACTGCTATACTAAAAATTTATCATAACATAATCCGTGCGAAAACCGCGTCTATCGATGGCGTAAATATTATCCGCCTGGCATTCGTAGTAGCCTGTAAATTAGTAGAAATAAAGAGTTTATTCAAAATGAATGAACAATAAGGTGGTAATATAAAATGGTAGACGTACCTGCATCCATTTGTGTGGTCGGATCGATTTCCATTTTAGATTTTATAATATCGGCATCAATGTGGGACTCGTGCACCTGTGCAAGGGTAGCAACAATAAAGAAATATAGTAGGTGAATTCATTAAGTAATAAGTTTTAAGCGAATTATTTCATGCATTAATGACCGTTAGTTCTTCGAATTTTCCTGAACTCACCTGGAAAAATCGATGCTGATACAATTCAGCGCCATCTTTGAACCAAGTGATTGTGGGACGTGGATTGCCTGTTGATGATAAAAATTAAGTTTATTTTAACTTAGCTTGTTCTGCTGATATTATGTATTTTTGGGTGCCCTAAAAAGGCCCTAATCAAAAATGTTATGCGACTGATGAAATTTTTTAATTTAATACCCCATTTTTTAGTATAGATTAATCTTTTATAAAACAGAGTTTCACTTGCCCTGCGCCATGCAAAAGAATGTGATTTTCCGTCCCAGCGTATAGTCCAATTCAAAGTGGGATGATTTTATAATTTTAGCGCCCTAAAAAAATAATTTTATTGAAATATATGTAGTTTGAGTACAAATTGTTGTATTTTACATTTTCATGATCGTAATAATTGACGGCATCCTGTGAGCGATGTTGTATCACAACCGGTTTTTTGCCTGTGTAATTTCTGCGCAGCACGCCGCGTGCGCCAACGGTTCCTGGAAAGAGCGAGAGGAAAAGTGAGAAAAGGGGTCATATAAAAATTAATAATTTATTTATTTTAAATAAAATAAAAATAAAGAACTAATGATGAAATAGTAGGAATGAAGAGCAATGTGTACGGATTTGACATGGAGCGTTAGAGCGTAAAATTATATTTTTTAATCTTTTCATCAAATATCAAATTTTAGATATTAAAATTTGACCAAATAAAATAAGTTTAAAAAATTTGAAAAAATTAAGATGAACATCAAAAAATGTATAAAAAATGTAAAAAAATAAAAAAATAAAAAAATAAGCAATAATTAGCAAATTAAAAAAAAAAACAATAAAAATGAGGCGCATTCTTGTTTTTGTACGAATCGAAAATTTGAAATTTTCGCATAGAAAATGATAGGAAAGTTTCATGATTTTCGACTCCTACGTAAACAATAATACGTCCCAATATACAAAAAATTACATAAAAGTTAAAACTTAGAAATAAAGTAAAAAAACAATAAAAATGTTGAAAAACAAATAAAAGAATAATTAAATAAAAGTAGAAATTTAAAAAGAATATAAATAATATAGCTAAAATTAAAATCAATGTGTTTTTCTGCATAAAGCAATATTTTCTTCTTAATTTTTTAATAAAAATATTCCAGATTTCGTAAAGGGGTAGAACTTTTAAATTATATTTGTACAAAATTAGAGTTGAAACCTAAGAATTTTAAGTTTTTTTTTGTAAATTATTTGGTTTTTTCAAAAGCTTATTTTGAGTTTCAAGAAAATTATTTTAAAAGACTTGTTTCCATTTAAGATTTTTTTTTGAAATCTTGAACTATATATTATTTTGCAACATTAATATTCAAATATTAATATCTTGCATCGCTTTTTTTATTGACAAAATTTCATAAGCTTATGCTTTAATTACAAGAATATTGTTTACAAATTCTTTCGTTCAATAAATTTTCATTCGATTTTTTTTTTGGAAAGCTTAAGCATTAGACCGTATCAGAAAAAAGGTGCGTCGTACACCTTCGACACAAAAGTATTTTTACAAGGCAATTTTTTAGGTTTATTTTCGCCGAACGTAGGGATCGCATTTTGTAAGAAACTTTTTCGATTAATTCAGCAGAACTATTAATAAAATTCTTAAGACGGAAGCTAGGTTCGGATTTTTTTTGAAATCGCCTTAGGAAAATACTTTATCGGACAGGTCTGCAATTCACTGCCGAGTGAATTTGAGTCAAATTTGCTTTGAATTCATATTGGCAGAGGTTGAAATTCACTCGGAAACGAATTGCAGAACCTGCATGTATATTCAGCGACGTACGCCGAACTTTTTTTGCTTGTTTGTCTTTAAGGTGGTACGCTCTAATGTACATATGTATGTATATGTTTTTCCAAAATTAATGATTAGGTATTTTTAGTAGTTTTCTTCCTTTTTAATAATTTTTTTTTGAATGCAAAAAGAAAGTTCTTTAAGAAATTTGCTTTTGTTTAAAAACTTCCACTCGAAATTTTTAAGCTAAAGCTTTTTGGTAATATTTGTTTTTTGCGAAAAATAGAAAAAAATGTTGTTTAGAGCTTTTTCTATTTTTTCTCTTAATTTTTAATTTCAAGAAAATTGATGAATTTTTTTCATCTGAAACATTTTCAACAAAATTTGTTTGAGAAAGTAAAAGCTTTTTACTATAATTTTGTCTGTCTTTTAACTTTTAAATTTTGGGTTACATACTCGTATATTTTTTTAGGTACTTGTTTTTTTTTATATTTAAACAACGCTACTTCGATCTTTTGCTTAAAAAACTCAAGGCATAAGCCAAGGTACATTGAGCAGGTAGTATCAGTAGAGCAGCTGATTTGATTTATTTTCAAATTACTTGGGCTCGAAAATGTCAAATATTTTTAGTTTTTTCTCACAAAAATTCTGAATTGTTAAAATCCATTTGCATGTGAAACCTTTATCCATACAAAACAAGCGATTGAATAGCAGCTTTTGGAACGTTCGCCCAACTCAGCAGCACAACCGCTGATTACAGGCCCTTGTAAAGGATGGATCACTGCTTCGAGAAACAAACAAATTTACTAGGAAAGAAAGTTGCAACAATTTTTATTTTTTCCAATTTAAATTTTTTATTATTTTTGTATTTTACATGGCACCCTTTGATTTAGAAGAAAAAATTCAGAACAGTTGTTGACACTTTCGATACCAGAAGCAACAACAAAATACACGTAAATGTTGTTTTTGCTCTACTGATACTACCTGTTTAATGTGCCTTGGCATAAGCTCAAAAATTACGAGTTTGTCATATGATCTTTTTTGATGTTTATGCCTAAAAACAAATTTCAAGTTTTTTGAACTGCCATCAAACTTTCCTCGCTTCTCTTTAGTAATATTGTAGTTTTTCAAAAATGTCATTTTAGTAAATTATTATTTAATTCTTAGATATTTATCTGTAAATTTCATTCACTTACGTTGCGCTTCGCTGTCGCACAGCAACAACAAATTTATTAAAATCCAACAGACGTAAATAAAACTGCTGCTAAAGGCAATGCGCATCTTTTTAATGATAATATTTTTGAATATTTATAACCAAATACTCTTAGGGTAAAATTATGTTTGTGAAACTTTTATAGTCCGTTTGGCGTTTTGCAATTTTTTTAATTTAATTTTTGTACTTTATTATTTTTTATCCAATTTCGCATTTTTCTTCTAAGCAATATTCAATTTGAATTTCCAATTATGTTTTCAACTTTTTTCATATAAAAATTGCTTTCCTTCAACTAACTATCACTGCACTGTATTTCGTATGTTAGCTCGACGGCATGTTTCTGCAACTACTGACTGACCGCGCGAAATGCATGATCCAACTGTGCGTCGTCGTCTTTATCATCATCACCATAATCCTACTACGTTCGTTCCCTTTACATACATATACATATACGAATGGACATACATACGAGTACACCCACCTATGCTGCTATGCTCTGCTCCCACAATTTCAATTGTCACACTGGCGAATAACCGCTTTAGTGGCATCGAGCATACACTAATTCCTTCAATGGCTACAGGTTGTTTACACTCTGGCGGTAAATTAATAAATTGCCCTCTAGTACAAAAAAAAATAAGAAAATTAGACTCACTCACTTACTCTTTCATACCCGCTGGGGCACCCCCATATCCTTCGTAGTGATGATGACGATTTCGCGTTGGCTCTATGTGTCATTGGCTGCTTTATGAATTTGTTTACTTGCCATTTTGCGAAAAAGTACGCGATTTTTTATTTGTGTCCCCTTGTTTGCGTCCACTCAGATGTATTTGTTCTTTGATTCCTGCATCTACTCAACACATACGGACATATATATAGTATATATGCAGCTGTTTTGTGTATTTTTGCAACATTTAACTTTTTTCCGTTATTTTATTTTTTCTTTGCATCACATTTTTCTCAACACTCACATCATCATCTCCAGCATTGTTCCATATTTAGACACATCTTTATTCTTTTGCATTGCTTGTATACTTTAAAATTATTTATATTCGTTTGTATTCTCTTTTGCATTTCATTTTAGTGGCATGTGGAATGTCCCGTATGTGTCCAGTGTTTATCTGATTAAGAGCAGCGCATTCAAATATATCTCGTATCAGCATCGAGACTATGACCCCGATATGGCAATGTGCGAATCGCTACGCAAAGCTGTAAGTAAAAGCATAAATACAAACTAGTCTGTAACATGATACTTGAGGACAACTGCACTGATGATGCGCGGCGAAACGTGATTAGCAGCGTGTTCATTGGTTTTGCAATCAATTTTTTTTGTTGGCTGTGAATTTTAAAAAGTCATTTATAGAAATATCAAAAATTGACCGTTTCAAGACATGGCATAGTTGGTTGCACAGAATTATTTATTTAGCAAACACCTGCCTGAGGCACGTCAGAAGGCATCTCCATCACGGGGTCTGACTGTGTACAGACAAGTCATAAACGGCATCCACAGGGAGTCTGTCCCAAACTACACCAACTCCCGATCTGTGAATGCCGTTTTAGGAGAACTACAACCAACCCTTGACGAGATAGAACTTCAACTGCTGCGGGAGGACGTAGGCACTAGGGTGGTCCTCAAATAAAAGAAGCAGATTCCTCTATGGAAAGTCAAAAAATTAAAATAATTTTTTTTTTTCCTATTATATCCAAAATCGATACTACCATAGCCGAAGTTATGACACATAAATTTTGGTACCGATTCGGTCGGGTGAAGGCGTGTCGCACAGGGATAAAAGTTCATACCCTATGAAAACGTCTTAACTGACTCCAATTGGAACCAAAAAAAGTCCATAGAGGCATCTGGCCTTTGACCCCTTTGCGGCATGCATTAACCGACTCCAATGGGGAACAAAATTTATATGTGATATCTTCGACTAAATATGTTATTATTAGGGCTGTGCGATTATTCGATTACTCGAGCAAGTTGGTTAATCAATTATTCGGTTAATCAATTACTCGAGTAATCAAGATTTTGATTACTCAAAACGATGATTAATCGAGTTACTTGAAATATGATTACTCAAAAAAATAATTTTGCTCGTTAAAAGAGTTTACTTTGGAAAAAGCTTATTTTCTTTTACATTCTGTATATGAAAAAATTTTTCGTTTTAATTTTTGAAAACAGAAACGTTGTTTTCAAAGTGTCAAGGAACTTTAACTACTTTATANCTAATCGCACAGCCCTAGTTATTATCGATTTTGGATATTAGATGAAAAAATATTAATTTTATTTTTTTGAATCTCTATAGAGGAATCTGTACTTTGATTCCTGTGCGACACGCTTTAACCGTCTCCAATCGGGGCCAAAACTTATATTTGATATCTGCGATTGTGCTATTACCGATTGAGGGGGGGAGACTGAAAAAGTCCTTCATTTGATTTTTAAGGACCACCACAACGCAACATTCCTCTTCATCTGGTCCCACCCGGTCGGGGTGGCACGCTTGCTGGGCCTTCCCTTAATTGAGTTTGACGACAATGATTGAGAGACAAACCGCTCTAGGCAGGGCTAAGTAAGCCGCTACAACAACAACCCGAGGCTGGTGTGATTACTCTATAGCTATCCGGGAACCCTGATGAGAGATTGATTATTTCTTTCGGTATCTACCAAATTGAGTCTTAGTTTAGAAAGAGTTTTAGTCCGAGTTTAAATAGTTGATAGAGCGAGAGATGAGCCAATTCGCTTTTCTAAAAATGTATGAACTGTATCAGCTGTTTAGCTGTTTGAGAAGTGCACATATACAAATAAAAAAGTAACAAAGATATAGCTACAGCATCCAATGTTGCGTATTTCTAGGCGCAAGAATGTTGATAGTTATTACTGTGTTCTGCGTGATGTAAGACAAACTTTTCACAGCAGTCTGTTATGTACGGGTTGCACGAGTTGTCGAATCAAAATGGCAAACTTGCTAATTGCTTGTCACCAGGGTGACAATCCACTTAAACCAACCAAACTGTTATGGGTCTCTCTTAGGTCGACTTGTTAGTTTTTGACAAAAAAAAATCCTTATACTAATATTCATTCCACCATTTATTTTCTTTTAGGGCGTCTTCATGTATGTCACCAATCTACATGTCTACGGTCATTTGGTGAATGCTGATGGCTTTGATACTGCAGTAGCCCGGCCCGATTTTTACACGCTCTTCAGCAATAAATACGACTGGGTACGCAAGTACATACATCCTAACTACTTCAAACATTTGGAACCCAATACGACTGTAGAACAACCATGTCCCGATGTATTTTGGTTCCAAGTAGGTACAGATGCCTTCTGTGATGATTTGGTAGCAATTGTGGAAAATTTCGGCAAATGGTCTGATGGCAGCAATAAAGATAGTCGGCTAGAGGGCGGCTACGAAGCGGTGCCAACACGTGACATACACATGAAACAGGTGGGACTTGATCCACTCTGGTTGAAGTTCCTCGATTTCATTGTGCGACCACTGCAGGAAAAGGCGTTCTTGGGATACTATCATAACGTAAGTGGCAGAGGAGCTGATTGTTCTTAGCTACTCGCATTTGTTATATGAAAAAAGTGTTAAACATTTTGTTTTTTTGTTTATTTACAGCCACCGCGCTCGCTCATGAACTTTGTGGTGCGTTACCGCCCAGACGAACAGCCTTCGCTGCGACCACATCACGACTCCTCGACATACACCATTAATATAGCCTTGAATTCCGTGGATGTGGATTATGAAGGTGGTGGCTGCCGTTTCTTGCGCTACAACTGTCAGGTGGATAAGACACGTAAAGGTTGGATGTTTATGCATCCAGGACGCCTGACACACTACCATGAGGGTTTGTCGGTGACCAATGGTACGCGTTATATTATGATCTCATTCGTGGATCCATAATTGCGGCTTATAGGGAGGGAAGTGTTGAGGAAGCGTGCTCCAGCATGGGTCACTGAGATTTAGAAATTAAGCTTAAACTGCCATGTCCAAAGATTACCTTTAGTCGTTTTGTAATTGCTTACCCTGTAATTACACTCCTAAAAGCTTTCTTAGTTGTCGTCGAATCGAATTGTAAGAGACTACTTAATACTACACTACCAAACATGAACAAAGTCGTATAAAACTAAATACTATATCTATTTACGTACATACAATACATATAAATACAAATTTATACATACGTAAAAATATAGATGCCACTATGAACAAATGTAAACACTATTCGCATGCGAAATTTGCTGAATACTCGTCATCATGAATGAATTTAAATATATTTTACGAAACTGATTATCTCTTTATTTGTATGTATGTATGTAGTTGCTTATTTCTAGACCAAACTATCCCAATGAATTGAAACAGTTATCTAATATGTGTGTGTAATTTTTTATAACAATTTTATATTTACCTTAATAACTAGCTGATGTATGTGTTTGTTAAAAAGTGATTGATTAATAAGCAATAAAGAAAAAAATTGTTTTATGTAAATCTACTCACACTTTTTGTATTGCTTTGGAGTTAAATTAGAGTATATCGTGTTGGAGAGTACCATAACATTTAAATATAGACATTTAAATATTTNAAGAAAAAAATTGTTTTATGTAAATCTACTCACACTTTTTGTATTGCTTTAAAGTTAAATTAGAGTATATCGTGTTGGAGAGTACCATAACATTTAAATATAGACATTTAAATATTATTATCATGGAGAGAACAATATATATTTTTTTTTATTACTTAATAGTGTAAATAATACGTGCAATTATACTTTGACACACGCTGTTGCTCTTAATTACCATAATTAGAAAATTTTTATTACTGCATGATTTCAATGTTGTTGTACATAACAACAGGCGCTATCTTACATTAAGATCAATAGTTTAATGTATAAATTATCGCATGTTATTAGATGTAATGAGAATAATAACATTGCTGATCGATGATAGCAGAGTGAGGGCCAAGAACTGGGATATACATACATAAATACTGTGAGACAATAATGATTATCTCTCCGACACTGGATACCCTTTCGATTAAATTCTGACTTGTAAATAGCCACTAGACGATGCCGAAAATCTCATCGCAGGCTCTTCTAAAAACACTTAAGCCAAAATTATTTTAGACGGCGCCAAATAAACCACCTTCTGCTCTTGGTGCTTCTAATACATTGTTGTTGTTGGTATATCGGCTTACTTAGCTCTGCGGTAAGCTCTGCGGTAGACCCAGTAAGCCTCGTCCAATGCGTTCAACTTTCCCCCGGCGACCACAAGAGCGCTACATATTTTATAACCCGCAGGCTATTGCGGTTGTGTGCGCCGAGAAAGATAGCAGGCTGTCGAAGGTAACTCCGAGCATTTTTGGTTTGTTCATTGTCGGATTTAATTCGCCGTCGGCCTGAATATCCAGTTGTAGCCTGACGTCATTCGTCCAGGTGGTAAAAATAAATGGTTGCTGAGGATTTTGTGGGAGAAGAAGCGAGAAAGTTCGCAGAGGTAACCGTGTACTTTTGAGCACAGGTCATCAATTCCATTGCCCGATGTTATTATCGAGCAATCGTCAGCGTTCGCAATGATGGAGACTCTCGTTGCCACGACAGTCGGGTCTAAGTAACCGGAACGACCCAGATTGATATGTGGCCAAGGATTGTCCCCACAGCATCATTTCCCAAAAACTCTTCGGATAATTTTTATGCTCTTACTGCAACAACAACATGAAGAGAGTTTCTCTGGTGGTTGGGGGAGATGGGGGAAATCTAGAAATTTTACAGAAGAGGGTAGGGGACACCACCTTGTGGAACTCCTCTTTAATTTCCCTGGGGTTTGACATTTTATTTCTAAAAAACGACAAGTTTCGACCACTCAGAAATTTCGCCAACCACCGTTTAGAGTTTTGGGGTAGCGAGGAAGCGTCTATGTCTTCTAGTAGCGTGGAAGGATAGAGGGTGTAAAACGCCTTTTATAAGTCCAACACGGCTAGTACTGTGGTCACACAGGAGCGTTGTCTGAGTGCACTTTGCGGAAGCCTTGCTGATGCTTGGCTGGGAACAGGTGCTACGAGAGAAGCAATGCCGTATCTTCTGCTTATCACAACGTGATAAATTTGCTTTCATAAGCGGATACCTAAGCCTTGTCGTGATGACTAAATTTTCGGAATTTTCGCCGCTCGCACCTAGAATTGTCGAAGCAAAAAAGACAGGCATAGATTCTACTAAACACTCATTGGATTGACTTTTGGTAAAAATTTGACAAAATTTCGAAGTCGTCCCGCAACCGAAAACTCCACAAAAATATTGTGCCTGGGTTATATCAGTTGTCCATCGCGAACTGCACTCAGTTGACAGTCTTGTCTATGACATCCATCCAGTTGGATAGAGGAATGGTGCGGTGCATATCCAGAAATTACCTCAATGAAAGAGCGCTGTACTATATAGCGACAACGGACTAGTTGAGTATGAAATAACGTCGGGTGTACCGCAGCAATCTCTTCTAGGACCTACCTTATGGAAAATTATGTATGCCGGCATCCCTGCGGCTTGCAATACCTACAGGTGCAACATTAATTGGCTTGGCGGATGATGTGTGCGTTGTTATAACAGCGAAGAAACTTGCTGAAGTAATAGCCACTGCGGAGAAATCCATAAAAGCAGCCGAGGATGGGTTAAGCATAAACTCATTAACGCTAGCAGCGTCAGAAAAAGGTGGAAAAAGTATGTAAAGCGCGTTTTCTTGAGCGTCACTTGTCATTAAGAGGGCGAGCCTTAAAAAATCTTATAAACTGCATTAAATTGCTATGTATGTATGTATATCTGGATGGTACTTGACTTAGATACGAACTTCTTAGTTTTTCTTTGATGAGGAGGAAGCATCGAAAGCTTCTACCTGACAGTGTGGGACTTTAATCCGAACTAAACCTCCTACTATGCAAGTACCAATCCCCCCGGTACAATTGTCAAGTATTTCGTCGGGAGGTGGTATGAGCACTAGGCTCGCACGTTCGTTCTAGGTCAGATGTACAGATACAGATACAGATAAAACTTATAATTGAGCTGGTATAAATAGTAATAACAAATATCTTGAAATTATGGCTTGCCTTATAGCTGCCTTTTGTCGCTGGTTTTACATTGAGCAGGCTTAAAGGGGAGAAGAGTTTCAAACTCGTATACGTAGGTAAATATATTGCCTGGGCCTGGGTTCCAGCCCATGCCTTCGCTTTAATTTGTGAATTTCATGTTTAATAGGCGGTCTGAAAGCACGGAGTTTTTAAGACGCACTGCCTTGACGGCTGGAACGGCCTAGGTTGCAATCCGCACCGCACCTGCTCTTCAGGTGCACGAATTTCAAAGCCGCACTGCCTAGGTTCCAGTGCGCGCCTACGTTTTAGTTGGTGAACTTCATGATTTGGTTTCAATCCGCGGCTACGCTTCGGGTTAGTTTAATCACTGGTGATACGCCGCTGCCTCTCTAGGCTCCTCAGTTGCTTCAGAATTGAAGACAGTGTGTCGCTGGATGATGCCAAGTCACTGACACCTTTCATCATATAGTCGACTACTGACTATGGCGTAAACAACTGTCCAACCGCTAGTCTCAATTGGTTCAACAGCCGATTGAATTGAGGATACTCAAAGAATACGTGGCCGACGTCTTATACCACGCCACTTATGAAGTAGTCGCAGTACGGGTCATACCCCTGTTTGAATTTAAACAGGTATGCTTTAAATCAGCGATGCCCGCTCAAGAACTAGCTCAGATAAAAGTCTACTTCGCCGTGCGTTGTATTAATCCAGGATACCAGATTTGGCATGCAGCGATAGGCCCAACGACACTTAGTCGTGATATTGTACATATTTTGTCACTCTGTAATGCTGATTTCACGAGCTCGACGTCGGCCGATTTGAGTTAGAACATGCGGGGCGGATGATAGGAGCATCGATTCGCTGGCCAGTATATCTCAGGGTATCATTACGAAAGCTGCTTCGTTGGCCACAGTTCAGAAGGCAAACACGGAGCGCACACAAACGGTATGTTGAGTTGACTCCGCGTAAGTACTGTGCCACATTTGACCGAATTGGCGCCGCATACAGTATTTGGGTTTTAATCATTCGCGATAGTCTACAAACTTCTTAGGAGGACAATAAAAAGTTGTAGATCGGTTTAAAATCAGATCAACATAAGCAGTGGTCGAATAATAACGGACGTAGAGCTTAGTGCTCAAACTACCTTCCCACGAAATACTTGACGCTGGTTTCACATTGACGGTTCTGGGGTTAAGCTTTCGATGTTTCTTGCTCTGAAAAAAATACGTCGCCGCGAGAATCAATTTTTGGGACCATATAAAGAGTTAAAACTGTGGAGAAACTGTTATTAACAGCTGTGTAGTTAATTCACTGTACACTACCGCAATTTTCTGCTAATATGAGCCTAGTAAAAGCCGTTGGCTGTGCTGGCACTCGCATTATGCTCGACTATTTGCATTAGGCAGCTGTTTCCGTTCCACATGCCAATTGTTGCGCCACCGCTGTTATTGTACATTTCCGTACGCTGTTAGCCAGCGACTCTATTCAGTGCTGCTTGCTGTTAGCTGCTTGCTGTTAAGCGATAGCATTTATCAATTGGTTTTCACATGTTTCACTTTAGTCTCAAGCAGATATCCAGCGATATTGAATGTTGTGCTGTACGACAGGGCAACGACGCGCCGTTTAATTGATATTTATCGTTAAATTTGTACTTTTTCTGCGCAAGCGACAAGCCAGTGTGTACCAATAAGCAAACAAATCTTGTTTTTATTATCGGTTAAAGTGGTTGTGTTGTTATCGTTTCTTGGTCGCACAAAATAATAAGGAATAATACATAAATAGACGAGGGAATTGTACGTATAAGCCACGCTCAGTTGAATGTACACATGTAGTATGTATGTAGGTGCCAGCAAGTGGCCGATGTTTTTGTTTCCGTTGGTTTTCTTTTTTTTTAATTTTTAGTTTTTGAAGAGCGGCCAAAACAGAAATCAGAATATTTAACAGCGCGCGAGCAAATGTCAGACGTACTAAAAATTTTGCAGTTAGTTATCCTTTTGCTGCGCGCATGAAAGGAGTCTCGCAGGCTGAAAAGTGTTGTGCGTTGGAGTTTAGTGCAAATTACATTGGGGGGAAAACAAAGAATATCTATGTACATAAATAATTGGGGAAATTGTGAGTGATTGAGTGCCCACGGCGTGCAGTGCAAAGCAGGAAAAAAAGTGTAGAAAACAAATATTGCTGAAGAATTTAGGTTAGCTGCAAGTGTAAACGCCTTAAACTATGCTTTTTTTCGTAGAAAACTCAATAAAGAACTTGCAAAGATGTGTGGAAAAAACAGTTTTTGAGTGAGAAAAGTAGCAAGAAATTTTTCGTGCTCTGATTTTCTTTGCGTTTTCTTGCTTACATTTTGTTTGTTTATTACTTGCATTTGCTTTGAGCTCTCCTTTAGGTTGTAACGTTACCCAGCTGCTTGTGGGACTTGCATGTGGCCGAGATTGTAAATGGCTGTGAATGCGCTCAAGTTGGTTACTGTTATATTTTTCCTGTGCTAGGGTTTTTTAGGCTGGCTAAAAAAAATGCTCAGCGCCTAGCGTAAATACACACAAAAATGCGTTTGCGTCTATAAACATATATTTGTACTTACATAAACATTTGTTTGTCACCTTTTTGACGAACCCTGAACTGCGCTTAAAGGCCGTCCATCGACCGCTTGTCGATCGGGCGTTCGACGGTCGGTTGGTCGGTCGGTCGTCTAAGGCAACGCGACCTAAACACCTGAGCTCCGTCGCGGCGCGCCCTAGCACCACTGTTAAGGGCTGTTTCATTTTGTTGTTTATCAATAAAAATGTTTAATAACGGCGGCAACGTTGTCGCCGGTCGCCACTCCTATGCATTTGCATACTCATACATATTTATATAACTATGTATTTTTACGCGTCACTGAAAGAAAAAAATTTTAAAATTGAAGAAAACGTGCAAAATTTAAAAAATACGCGTATGAAAGAGCAAAAAATCAACTCGTGAAAAATTTTATATGTATACAAATTGAGTACGTATTTAGTAGAAAATATTCAATTCAAATACACCCATATTAAGATCAAGCTTTTGCACTTCACGATGGCGTTTTGTTTGCCTTCACGGTTATTTTTTAATAATTAAGATAAAAAATAATAGTTTCCTGCTGCCTACAATGGGAATTTGAACCATGACCCTCTGGAAACTAACAAATTGTGGCAACCATCTTTGCCCACTCAGCTACAGCAAAGCATGTAAATGTGCTTTCAAATGTTGAGTTTGAATCAACACCACAGCCACGCGTGCCTGGTATGAAAGTATTATTTTTAAATATTTACGAATAGTTTATAGTGAAAAACAAAAAATATATATTATTTTTTACTATGCGTTATTTCCCTCAGTGAATTCATAAAGTTTTTCTTAATATTACAACGCGTTTTTCTCTCAGTGTATCACCTCTGTTTCCAAGTTATTTATGCCGTTTTTTTTTTTGATTATCGGTTTGTTTTGCGTTTCTCAGTAGCAACCGTTATCGACGGCTGCGCTGCCAAGCGAGCTCATAAAGTCTTTAAGTGGCAAATTACAAGAAATACAAATGAATGTTTAAACAAAAATACGTTTTTGTAATATTAGTTACAACAAAATTGCAGCTGTGCAAAAATACAACAAAGCGTAATTAGAGAGTTAAAAGCAAAAATTAATTAAAGCATGAAAGCGAAGGCAAACGTTTCGCTAAAAACTTAAATAAACTAATGAAGTAAAGCTTCATCACTCGCCGGCGAGCTGATTGCCATATTTTGCACATTTGGAGCATATTCTATGTAAATTTTTCTGGGCCGTGCTGGCAGTAAAAAAAAAAACAAGATAAACAAACTAACTGTATAAAAACAAAATAAAAGCAGCTCATGCCCCAATCTCAGCAACTACAGCGACTTGAGTGTGAATATTATAGCTGCTTGCAATTAACTCGGTAAGTCAACAAAAAAAAAACCTTGAAGTTATACGATGTAGTTATATTTAAAATTCTTAAAAAAATCTCAAGCTAAATACCAACAAATGTGCATATTAAATGTGACACTTTGAATAATTACTATTTAATGGGCAATTTCAGAGCGCGCACGAGTTATTTTAGTTTGCTATTTTCGGGTAGCAAGTATGAAGGGGCCTTGTACCTACCGATAACTACATACTCGTATACCCACTAAGTAATTCCGGTATTCCAGTCAAATATATGTATATCGCTAGCTTAGAGTGAAAAGTTGCTGAGTTCCCATTTGAAAATTGTACAGGAGAGGAAAAAACTTCTTATATTTGTTTTTTTTTTTCAAGTATTTCGCAATACTTTGAACACAAAATTTTGCGAATCAGAAGGATTCGATCTTTATAAAAAGATTTCGTACTAAAACCAGAAAAAAGTCAGCTAAATATATTTATCTCAACAAATAATTTGGTGTAGTTTGGTTATAGTTAGTTAAAGTAACCAGTCATGTGTTGAGAGAAATATTTTTAACTGACTTTTTTCTCAGTGTATTTTGGACTTATCGAATTTTCGTAGCTTCTTTTGGACTTAGCAAATTTCGTAAGAGAAAACATAAAACAAGGACCTTTATGTTTTCGAAACGATGCCTCCTTTTAATTTCCCTAGCCTCATGTATCAAAATATGAGTTTTCGTAAAAAGCAACATTTCACTCTAAGCTAGCGATATCGAAAGTGCTAAAATTATGCAATGTAAGTAGTTATTTAGTTCGTTGGTTAAAAAAGAGTGTAGCAAAACAAGAACACTGCAGCCTATAATATTGGCTCATATGAAAAGTCTGTGTGAATTTTTGTCACTACACTGAGAAAGAGTTTAGTTACAATAACTAAATGTGTTTTCTTTCAATAGGTGATTTGGTTATAGTTACAGGATTTCTTTAAAGTAACCAACTCTTGTGTAAAAAAAAAATATATTTAACTGACTTTTTCTGAGCGTATATGGAGTTGATGCCCATACAACGCTACACACGACTTCTAAACCTGGATTGTCTATTATGTCCGTTTCAATGCGGCGAAACGATCCTCTCTGTCCTCTACAGTCTATGGACTGGACTAGAATTGGTCAACAGAAAGGGAGTTTTGTTCCATTATGACAATGTCAGACCAAACACGTCTTTGATGACTAAATAGAAGCAAATTGACGGAACTTGGCTGGGAAGTTTTAATGCATGTACCATATATCCCGTACCTCACGCCGTCTGACTTACATGTCTTTCAGTTTCTGCAAATCTTTCTGGATGGGAAAACATTAGCCGACCAAAGAGCTGCGGAAATCACTTGATCAAGTTTTTCTCCGATAACCCACATAAGTTCTACACCAGAGGTTCCCAAACTTTTTTCCCCGTAGACCCCTTTAAAAACCTTATTGGTTTCGTTGGACCCCCAGCTGCTACATTTCTAACATATTCCCAAAGCTCTTATCAAAAAATTTGAAGACTAGATCTAACGATGTAAATTTGCATAGGACATTTCCTAATTAAAAGTAACTGGGAAAGCTAATTCCATACAAAGAAATGAAAAAAGAATGCATCTGCCTGTGCTACTGAATCCGGAGTCATCCCGAAACAGTCGCATTTTTTCCAGAGTTCTGAACTTTCAGTACAAATGAATATTTTAGGAACGCTGTTTTTGTGTCTTTAGCGGCCATAAAGGTGCTGCGATTTTATGTAATACTTTTCATATATCGATTTATGTGTGTATTCGAATTCTCAATATTTTACGTACCTCCAATGACGAAAAAATTTCAAAAATGGTTACCAAGAAAAAGCTACCCCAGTTATCGCGACAATTTTTCATATATGTAACTATTTGCTTCGAGTTAATTATTTTTTATCTTCAAATTCATAATTATTTTTTTTTTTATGGAAAACCGGAAAATTCCCCTTCACCGTTTCTCACTGTCATTGTTTAGACATGTATATAAAATTCAATAGGAAAATGAATATTCGAAGCAGCCATTTCCGACATTAAATACGGACTAGTTGAACTTTTTAGCAAATAGATGCTAATTGTAATTATCATAACTACTATTGGCACATGTATGTATATGCATACATACTTTTTTTATTTAAAAAATATTTACATATATACATATTTCTAATAAGATAGAGAACTTATACTTATTATTCTTAGCTCAGTGTAAACAAATATAGAGTAACTGCAACGGCATTACGGTGTCTCACCAAAGTAAGTTACTTTTTTCCAACGGAGTTATAAAATTTATTATATCTGAAGACGTCTCGCAAAATATTTCGGACAAATGTTAAAATTTTAATCAAATAATCCTCAGATTGATATTAAGATTTACGTGAGCTGGGCCGATTTGTAAATGAAGATTGCATTACTTTGATTCGGTTGATAAAATTTTTAAGCATTTTTATGCCGACCTTGTAAGTTAAACTCTTCTATCATGTAGGGTGATTTTTTTTTTTTAGATGAAGAATGTAAAAAACTAATTTTATTTATAAATACTCAAATAGGTCCAGCTTATGTAAATTTTAATAATTCTATGATATTTTTAAGTATTTTTATGCAGACATTGTAAGCTAAAACTCTTCTATCATTTGAAGTAGTTTTTAGGAAAAATATTTTTAAAAACTAAATTTTTAGAAGTATTTTCAAATAGGTCCACCTTACGTAAATTTTAATACGTTTCCTTGTAAGCTCAAACCCTTCTATCATATGTGGAAACAAACATTTATAGGAAGTAATTTTTTAAGAAAAACTAAATTTTTCCAAGTATTTTCAAATCAGTCCAGCTAACGTAAAATTGAAGATTTTGCTGAAATTTTAAGCATCTTTATGCAGACCTTTTGAGCTAAAACATTTCTATTATCTGAGGTGATTTTCTTGAAAAAAAAAAACTAGACTTTTTGAGGTATTCTCAAATCAGTTCAGCTCACAAAAATTTTAATATGAATATCTATCTGAGGATTGTTTTATTAAAATATATAATATTTTCCTCAACAATTTTTCTGGAAGTCTTCAAATATAATAAATTGATTTTGCGAAATTTTAAGCATGTTTATGCAGACTTTGCAATGCATTGTAAGCTTAAACTCTTCTATCGTCCGAGGTAATTTTCCCAAAACTAATTATACTTTAAAAAACACGACTTTTTTTGAGAGATTTTCAAATTAGTCCAGCTCACGTTAATTTTAATTCTTTCCGAAAGTTATTGGCGGCTATTTTATATCTGATATAATAAATGTTTTAATTCCGATGGAAAAACAGTACTTACCAATTTTTTTTGTATGGAGGGTGATCCAATCTTATATACATATGTACATACACATATGTATGTATGTATTTTATGCTTGTTTCTATGTATATTGCATGTTGAAAAACTAAGAAGATCAAATAAGTAGAAAATTGCATTAAATCCAAAACCAATTAAAATTACCTTTTTATGACTATCAAAGGCGATCTAAAAAAACTGTCATTTGGCAGCGTCCATTCGTTGCCCCCCGAACCTGACAGTACTCATGCCTGGCAAAAGGCAAATCGCTTTTACTGTAGTTAGCTAATCCGATTACGCAAGCGGTAAGTCAAAGAAAATGCCTCCAAATTTGTGTGTACATATGTATGTATCTACATATGAATTTTTAGATACATACATACATATGTACATAGATACATACATACATATGTATGTACGTATAAACATGTGGGGGTTGTTCTTTAAAGAAAATAATTATTTTAAGTAATTTTTTCTTATACAAAAGAAAATGATGATTCCTCTGAAGCTGCATTTCTCATTTATAGTTAAAACGAATGTAGCAAAAAAAAAAAGAAAATCAAAAGTCAAAATGAGTAATACTTTATAGCATCCATGTGCACAGTTTTCAAAAGAAATTCTTATCACAACCAGCTGAGTGAATGTGTATTTTTTTTATTTATTGCAGCAACTCAATTCGATTTGTCAATTACTAAATATTTGCGCAACATTCCCTTTATATGTAGTAGATAATAAAGTCAGTGTGAGTCAATGGAGAGTTGCGAATAGAAGACGTTTAGAAATAATGAGTGCCAAATGAAAAAAAAAAAAAAACAAAAAATCAACAAAAAAATATGCAAAATGTTTTGTTTTGGTTTGATTTGTTTTTAAGTTTATGGTTATTACCTATGTACATAAATATTTCCCATTTGTTCATTTATGTATGCAAGTGTTCAGTTTTATTACTTGGAATAGTTTTGATAAGGAATTCAATGATTTTTATTTTATCATTTTTGTGAATCTATACACACATACATATGTAGATACCTTGTTAAATGCATGAGTACATTGTTATTGGCGCTATTTATTCAATACGCTGCTTTTATCTTAATTTCGAATCTCATAATAGTTAATAACTTTGCGTCCTAAGCAAATGCTCTAAATATTTATGCAGATAATAAATGTTAAGTTTGGGCAAATTCCACGATTGAGAGAATACAAAGGTTGCGCCGATCTCGGACCGCTATTCCTCTCTTAACGAATTTGACAGAATCGTTGTTTGCATGACGTCACACTGGTGCAACTTGTTTACGTTTTCCTTGCAACATTTTTTCTTCTTCTTCCATTCTTGCTCACGTTTTGGCATTTCTCTCTCGCAATTGCACCAGTGTGACGTCACACAAAAGTTATTCTCAAAAATCCTCTCTGATCGGCGCAATCTTGTATTCTATCATTCTTGGGCAAATTCGATATTTTTATACCCAGTGTATGCTGTTAGTGAAATGTTGGTGATATTTTGAGCTTTGAGATGATTATACATATATTCACTTGAGGTAAAAAAATTAAAAAAAGGTATTTAATAAAAATTAAAGAAATGGAACGGAATGAAATGAAATAGTGGACTATAACAAATTGAAAGAAAATGAAAAGAAATTAGGGAAAAATAAACTTGAAATGAAAAAAAGCTGAGTGCTTAAGCGACTAACAACACATAGTA